TTAAATATTAATTTGCTTCTTTTTCGTTTATATATATCAATGTTTCACAATTATGATTGTATAGTTATTATTTTGGAAGTATTGTATAAGTATCAACCTTCTCGTAACATTTATAATCATTGGTATATTAAATAAAACTAAAACACTATTTGAAAACGTTTAAAAAAATATATTAAAAGATACTATAGTCAATATATAAATTTTAGTATTAAAATTTTATTACAATATTATATAGTACCATGACTGCGTTTAATATATGTTTAAATTAAACACATGTCTAAGAAAATTTGTATTTTTTTAAACTTTATGGTATAAAACGAATATTTAAAGAAATACTTATACATATTAAAAAATTTTATAATTAATATTATGTTATTATGATTGAGCAATATTATTTTAATCTGTAAATGAATTAGATAATTAAAAGAAATTTAATTTTGTAAAATTCTTTATAAAATAATTAGAATATTAAAAATTTATAATTTATACTTACTAATAGTTTTTACAGTTTATTTTAACGTTATGTTTTTTTATTTCATCGTCTTATAACTAATGCCGATATTTATAAATATTGAATATTAACTAAATTTTTGTACTATTTTAATCTTATTAAATAACGATAAAAAATGAACTATATTGTATATAGTATTTAAATTAATATTGCATAATTATTTTAATTTAATAATCATTATTTTTCAATCAATCATTCAGTGTATTTTTATGTTAATCAAATTAATCAAAATGAATTTTAAAAATTTGTTGCACCGATTTTGAAAATGTGATTTCGATCAAATACGTTAGACATTGAATTATTGTGTATATATCAATAAAAATTATATTGTAAAATTTACAGTCTTATTTATTTGAGAATCGTATCTCCCTACATTTTATATAATCGCCTCTAAATTTTTACTTTATTACTAAGAATATAAGATTCTTAAGTTTCATCTGAGTTTTAAACACACTTAATATTTATTAATATTTTAGTTCTTGAAAATTTATGTACCTTTGAATTATAGCTTATTTTATATGATATTTATAATATTTAGTTAGTAATACTTGTGCACCATCACTACATATAAAAGCATTTAAATATTTATTTTCTCTGCAATCATTCAATTATTCGGTACTATTATTGTGTAATACTTTTCAAAGGGAAAATATATTATTAATAATTCATAGCAGTCAATATTTAATAAGAAATTATGTTTTTAAATCTAAATAATACCGGTAACATATATTAAACCTTATATATATTTTGTTTATTTTTCTCCGATTTGATAATACTGTTATATATTTTATTTATAAGACACTTCTATTTTGAAATGAAATAAAATATTTTGAAGTTTTTTTATGGATTATACCGTAATATTCTTTGCAAATATTGTATATTTTATTATTATATTATTGTATAATTTATATAATAAATTTAATAATAGAAGTGCTACTTCTAAATGTAATCAAATTAATTGCGGAATATTTATTTAATTATCTACTTTAATATAATACAATTAAATATAATTAATTATGTTATTATGATTGAGTAATATAATTAATATGACAGATCATTTTAAATTATATTATGTATATATTATATACAAATAAATTTTTTTTTTTGTACAAATATTATCTAATAAATAATAGAATTTCAAAGTTATATTCCTCATTTGAAAATAGTACAGAAAAAATAGAAAATATTTTCTGTATAACTAGATTAAGGTATAGAATCTTTTATTATTTAAAAGTATCGATTAAAAAGTTTGTAACATTTTCTAAAACCCAGTATGTGTACTTTCATGGTCAATACCAAAAGGTCTAAAGTTTCTTTCAAATTTTATAAATTATTATATATTAAAATCCAATTAAATGACTATTTATAGATTTCTTGTAATTACGAAAATAAAATATTTTCATGTATTCAATATTTATTTTATTGTGATCCATTATGATAAAATACATAGTAAATAATTTTATTTAAAATTTTATTTATTCCCTAAATTTAGTATGACTTATATAATAAATGCTTACATTTTTAGACTTTTACAATAAAAATATAATGCTAATTTTCATCTTAAAAACACTATGGTAGAAAAACATTTAACATTTTAATATATTTTAATATACTAGTGAATATAATTATTCGTTATCAAATTATTTAATTAGTAATCTTTGGGTTTTGATTGAAAAACATTTTTACTGTAGGCTAATATTGAAAAATACATAGCGAATCATTTAAAAAATCTACTTCATTAATAATTGAAAATTCTGTATCAATAATTACAGATTTTTACGAGTATTTTTAACTGAATAAAATTAATGCTTTTTGAGACCTAGATTAATTTATTACTTTTTATTCTTTTATCAAATAAGAATATTAGATCATAAAATTTAAGTGCAGTAATTAATTATACGAAAGCACAGGTATAAATTCAACAAATAAATAAATCAATAGCATAAACTATTAATATATTATTAATTTATAATTCAATAAAAAATTAAATAATTAAAAATCCACATATATTTTTTTAAACAAAAGCTGAATCAATAAAGATAAAAAATGAAACAAATTTATTCAAATTATGTTATTATTCAGATTACCCTATTACAATATCAATTAATAAAACTAAAATTTTTTATAATTTATAAGTTTTCAAAGTTATAAGTTTATAAAGTGAAAATAGAATCATAATTACTGAACTTGTTTAAATACTCGGAATATTAACTATATTTTTATTCAAAGTAACGGTTGTATTTTATTCAGGAATGAATTGACGTTTCATTTTGCAATTTATATCTTGAAATAATCATCGAATCTTAATAAATTAAATTCGTTTGTTAATATATTAGAATGTTTTAAATACATTGCGTAGACAATGTCAAAGTATATAAAATCATAAAAATCAAAATATATAAGATAATAAAAATAATAAATTTGTGTGTTAATTTATTAAACTTAGCATGTGTATTAAGTTATATGAACATGTAGTACAAATTATTATTTTATTTATAGTAAGAAATTATCGAAGAATATTAAAAAAATGAATTTCACTACGAAAATAATTTATTAGATTCAATCAATTAGTAATTGCTTCGTCTAAATATTATGCAACTTTATAATATGTAAAATGGGGTGAAATTATGCATTACTATGAAACATACATGCACAAATATTTACAAAATGGATCAAAATAAAAATATATTTGATAAAAATTTTTTGTTGGAGGTATAAACTTTTAATATGAAAAATAAGTTAAAAATGCAAGAAATACACTATACCTTGTAAGTCAAATATTAATATATTACTACGAAAAATAAATCTAATTAATATTAAAATTAAAAATTACACTCGAGTAAGTTTTTAAAAGTAAAAAAAACAATCAGTGACAAAATGTAATTACAATTTAAAATATAAAAAAAGAATTATAACTTGTACAGAAGTAAATTTATATTATATACCTAAAGTCTATATATTTCAATTTACTTTAGCAAATAAATATAAACATGTATTATTAAATTTAGTCATTTGTAATTTATATGTCTGTTATTATACAAATTTACTTAATACTAATATTAGTAAATATTAATGAAATTATCAAGTAATAATACATAATATCTGTTTAAGTTTAATTTCGAATTCATAAATCAAATAATATTAAAATTAATATATGGTATTATTGAAAAAAATAGAATACTTCCAAATATTGGATAATTTTTTTTTATATTATATTAATTAAAAATTTTAAATATAAATTTTTAAAATATATCATAAAGTATAAATTAAAAAATATTCGAATTTTTAACAATAATTCAATCGTGTTATCTAGACGTGATATTTTAGAGTAATTATATTGAAAAATTATTCAGAAATATATAATAAATTGATAATGCATTCATGTTTTACATATTAAATAAAAAAATGTAAGTATTTATTTTTCATATTGATTTCATGCATTTAAGTTTGTATTATTATTATGTATTATAGATATACGTATACATGTATACATAGGTCGTTTTACTTGATTTATATTAATTTTCTTTTTATAGTTATACTTGATTAGCTTAAAACATACAATTTTATTAACAACGGTGAAACTTATTTCATGTATCTAGGATTTTAAATGTTATATATTCAATAAATTGATAACTACGTTGCTGCACATAAAAGAAAACAATTTGATTGACTCATATAGGCATAAGATTATATACATATACAGATAAATTTTTAGAAATATTAATCAAATGTATACCCTATAAATTGGATTATACAATTTTTATTCTTCTATGGAATATTAGTATGCAGAAATAGGCGTTTATAAGTATAAGAAATAAGTGTTTATTATCAATTATTTTAGATACACCAAATCGTAAATATAATTTTACATTTTGTAATGAATATGTTTCAAGTTTTTTATACTAGTTATATTGTCTAATGTGTTTGTTGTATATTAATAAAAAAATGTGCTTAAATATTTTTTTCAGATTATAACCATTGAGAATTCTGTTCTAGAAATAACCTCAATTCATATTAAAAATATTGAAGATGCAGCGAATCAATTAGCCAATTGCATTGAATATATAGAACGTAGGCTTGAAGAATTAGCTCCACCAGAATGGAAGGTACAAATTGGTTTCGTTATTTAATATCAGATGTAATTTTATTCAAAAGATTGTATGATTTTTATTAAATTAAATACAATAGAATTCTATTAAATTAAATTAAATTAAATACACCTAAATACTACAAAATTGTGTCATAAAAGAATTATTTACAATTTTTGTAAATGTATATGAAACCATTATAAAAAAAATATTTGTATATATCAAATAGAAATATTAGAAATTCTTAATATATATATATATATATAACATTTCCCAATTAAATTAATTTTATGGTAAATTTGAGAGTATTCATTAGGATATTACATGATTATGATTTATATAATCTTACAGTATTTTTAAATCGATAAAGAAAGTAATTTTGGTTATATATTTATTAAAATATAATATAATGTATAATTTTAAATTGAATTATACTACAGTTTTAAAAGTACTCGTATAAAAACATTCAATCAAGTAATATAAGTTCTATACTTTTATTAAGATCTTCATTAGTATTTATATTAAGATTATTTGTACTGGCCTGAAAAATATAAATAAATGTTATATATATAAGCAAAGATAAATAATTAAGTTACACATACTCATAATTATAATTTTGAATAATTTCTTGAATATAGATATTGAACAATTACAATTTTAAACTGCAATATTTATTGAAAGTGATATTGAGAATCTATTAATAAGCACGAACAATTTATTTCTATAAATATGAAACTTACCAATTGTAAAGTAGCAGAAAAATATCGAGCAACTTCACAAGGAGGTTCTTCACGAACTATTTCATCAAATTCAAGTTTACGATCACACGATTCCAATCTTCTTATAATTCGTGATTCATATTCGTGAATTCGAAAAGGTGGCTTGCGCTCAGCTTCTATTAATCTTGGTTTAATTTCTTTATGCCATCTAATTACAGTTTCATCTTCATCAGTTTGCAAATCAAGTTCTTCATAAATTTTTTTTATCTTATGTTTTACTATTTTTTCGTAATTATATACAGATTTTATACGATTTGTATCTTGTTTATCAAAATTTGTCTCTGATGACATGAGATTTAAATTCGGCGATACTGGTGGTGTAATATTATCAGGAAGAGGTGATGATGAGGGAGTGCATTGTGGTGATAGAAAGCTTGAGTTATTTGTCCGCATTCTTTTGGTAAATTTTAAATGAGAATCATCCTTTGTATAATTTAAATGAAAACCTAAAAGGTCCATTGTTAATGTTGTTACTGGATCATAATTAACAGCAAAATGTTTTGCGTTAAATGTTTCATCGAGAGATTTTTTAAATCCATTATAATCTTCTACAAATTATTAAATTGTAATTAAATATGATTAAATACCATTACTTTTTCATCTTACTATACATAAATTGGACATAATAGTTAATTTGAATTTTACTAGATAAATAGAAATTATAATTTCATACTTCATATAAAATTAAATAATTGAAGAAAAAAAACATTACCTTCTTTCATTGTTAGAAATTGAGACCGTGAAGGAGAATATAATGTCATTTTCATATTTTTAATTATACAATCTTCTTGATTAATATTATTTTCAAATGTTTCTTTACATGATTGTTCTGATAATTTACTTTTTGCCTTTATAACTTTACGTTTCTACCAAATATTGTGAATTTTATTATTTATAGAATTGAAAGAAATAATAAATACTTTTTTATTGAAAATAATAAAGATGTACATACCGGAGTACGTCTTAAAAGATTTATATGACATGGTAATCGAAATTCTTTTCTGCTTTTCATTAATTTTTCTGGAATTCCATCTTTAAAAGGTATTGGTTTTAATAAATTTTCATCATTAAATATAGTGTTATTTAAAATATTTGTTTGTTTAAGTCTTTTGCTTCTGTAATAGATGAAAAAGGATTAAGAATATATTAAAATGAAAGTATAATTATTGATAAATTACCTTCTCAATTCAAAATTTGAACTACTTTGCGTATCAACAGATTCATTATTGGTATTTTCACTATTTCTACGTTTACAATAATTTTTTATAACTTGTTTATTTTTCTCTATAGTGATTCCATTATCAAATACAGTCTTAAGTTTTGTACTAGATGTATTTGTTTTATTTTCATCACTTATTGTTTGATTTTCTTGAAATAAATAATTAAATTTATAGCCATTATTTACAAATTGTATTTTAACATTTGAAGCATTTGTTTCTTCAATTAAATTATGACAGTCATTGTAAGTTTCAGTATTATCGAAATTTTTATCACAACTATAAAAGTCTTCGTCATCGTTATCGTTTGCTGAAAATTGTACTGTTATTTGATCCAATCTATCAAGTAATGTACAATTATCTGAGTTTTGTGATTCATTGTGATATATATTAAAACATCCTGCATCTTCTGAGGATGGTTGACAATTTTCTACTGAGTTATTATATACATTTACATTACATCCATTACTTTCTTTTTGAAATTCATCTCTTATATTATTTGATAACAATTGTTTCGTTTTATGAATTTTTATATTTTTTTCCAGTATGGTAGACGATGCATAAATACTACTCTCAGTAATAATAATATTTTCAAAATCTTTCGGAGTAAATTCTTCAACTAATGTTCCATTTTTAATTATTTGTTGATTGCATCTATGAAACAAACAATGATTTAAAGTATTCTAAATTATTATTATTCTATATTATTATTCTACATAACTCTGATTCCATATTTTTAATTTAAATAAAACGTTTATTTTAAATTTATGTGAACTGTTAAAAAATGTAACTATTCCAAATATGGATAATAAAAAAAATTTGTTATTAAAATTTCTGTATAAACAATTACTTTATGTATTTTATATTTTAAACATTAACTCTTCCTTTATCCAACTATATTATTTATATATATATATATATATATATATATATATATAATTCCCTGGAAGATTCTTTCCGACCGTTTTAAAATGCATATGCAAATATTATTATAATAAAGAACTATGTAGTTTTTTTATTAAATGTATTTTCAAAGTTATGAAAATTTATTTAATAAGTAAAACGATTTTTTTACCAAAAATTATATATATTTTATAAAGTAATTATTTTTATTCTATACGTTAATGTAGATAATCTCATACTGTTAATTTGTTAATATAAATAAGTTAATATTAGAATAAAGATTAAAAATCATTTAAAAATACTATATTTTCATATGTAACACAAAATCAATAGACTATTATGGCGTCTAGATAAACGAGAGATTAAAATATCAACTGTATTCATGCATCATGATCTAAATTCCATAACTATCATGATTAAAATTATAGTATATTAAACAAATTTATGAATTACTTAAATTGAATATAATAATTAAAAAATATATGTTAATAATAAGAATCCTTAATTATTCTTTTGCATAACAGTAAAATTAACATTAAAATATATTTTCAAGTGTTTTTAGAAATATCATTAAAAGGCATTAATATATTAAATTTATATTTACCGAAAATCATATTTTTTCCCGATAGCTTCACCTTGTTTATCAAAGACATCAATATATAATCTTGCATGAGAATTCTGCAATTGTGAAAAGCAGCGATGCATAAACTTCATTGATTTTCGTTCGTGATTTTTTAAATTAATATTTTTTCCGATTTCTTGATCAAAATCAATTAATTCGAATTGAGTAAAATCGATTAAACACCTTTTTGATTTTTGCTCTTTTTGAAAGTGCTTTTCATCGCTTTCTTTTAATCTAAAATTGATTAAACATAATAGCATTTCAATAGAAATAGTATTCGAAATATTTTACTCAAATAACAATTATCAAATATATAAAAGAAAAACTAATTCAATGTTTCCATTAAACAAAGTTATATTTATCTGTCTATTATGATAATACAATTAATTTATTAAATTTCAATTTTAATTAAAAATTAAAATTAAATATTTATTAATATTAATTATGTAATGTTTATGCATACTAATTTTGATCTAAACTTATTGTATTTACTGTGTAAAACAAAATAATAATAATAATCTAACGATATTATGTTTCCATTATGATATTTAGAGAAATAAATGTGAAATACATTATTATAATTGCCTAATCTTAATTCAAGCAGTATTGCATGAATAATGAATAAATTATGTACAATATAAAAAATAATTTTGTTCAAGAAAAAGCTTAATATAAAAAACTAACTTTTAAATTGATTATAACCCTTTTTTTTAAGATGTAGTGTTATTAGGTAGTATTCTTGGCGCACCGTATATTCATTCAAATTTAAAAGCAAAATTACAGCAGACGATTACATTTCGCAAATTATTATTATATCTAGTTCAACATTGCTTTTTCAATTGTTTTTTTTCTATTTCTTGGTAGAAATTAGGTTATTTTAAGTATTTTCAAGAAAGAAGTAAAAACGACCTTATCATTACTGTTTTCGGTTACATTAATAATAGTTTTGCATTTATTATATTTCTTGTATCATTTAAAATCTAAGTATGTTTTTATGTATATATTTTGTGTTGAAAATTGACGTACTAGAGAAAATTAATTAGTTTAAATATGATAAAACAGAAGATAAAACAAACGATGTAATAGAAGTATTATGTTGCTTTTTAATGTATATTTAATGTATATAATATACGTTATTGAAACAAAGAAGCGGTTACAGCTTAAAGTAACAAAAATATTAAATATTAGTTGTGGTTGATTACAATATTCCAATTAAAGTAGATTCCTCGTAGTTAGACAATAATTTTGGTTTTGCAATCCATATATAAATGTACTGACAATACTTATCAATGAGAAATCTGTCTAGTTAATTAAACCTTTATGTCCGAATTAATATCAATTCAAGACTTACTGCTTGAAATAAGTAAGCAGAATTTGAAAATAAATTTGATGATAAAACGAAAATTTTACAGTTAGAATTTAGAACTTAGAATATTACTAATAATTATAGCTTAATCTTAGAATAATTATTTGTATCATTATTCATTCTAGTTCTAGTATATTGTGGTATATATGTACTTAGTGTTACATAGAAAATTAATTTATTTGGTTTGAATTAAGAATTGAAAGATGTATTGATATTACAGTCAGTATATTAAAATACATCGCGATAAAAAAGCGTCTCATTAATTATCAATTGTACTCAATCTATCTCATCGATAGTTATACATACTTCATTTTTAGAATAGTATTGATTATTTAATTATTGAATACTACTAATATTTGATCATGTAGAAGACACAATTAGTGATCAAAAAATCATATAAACGTGATTGGATTCTTGTACTAAAAAATCGATGTTAGATTCTGCCCATGTTGATAAATTGGTAATTTGGCTTTTTAAAAAAATAAGTTAATGTAATAAATGAGGTTAAACGTTAAGATATATAAGAAAAAGATCTTAACTTTAATTTTAAACAATTTATAATTTGATAAATATTGTCGTCTATGGTCTTATAGTGCACAGTAAGATTCGTTGAAATGTCATTTGTATATTTCTGCAAGCTTTTATATAGTAGTTATATATATATATATATATATATATATATATATATATAGATAGAAATACGATTAACTCTTCCATTTTAGTTATAAATATTACAATGAAATATCACTAATAGTCTATAAGACTTCTCTTACTAAATTCGTAAAACATATTCACAATGATTTAATAAAAAATTTATAGCCTCGATTTTCTTTGAAATAAACCTATTTTATCTAATAAAATATGTCTAATTGTTACACAATTATTTTAAAAATAGGTTATTGTGAGCATTTATTAAAATGTAAAAATATACTTTTTGAAGTGTATACATAGAAAATTGTATGTAATTATATGTAACATGAAAAGTATTAAAATATTACAAACTAAATCGGTAATAAATTGTGCATCTCTTCTTGTGATCATATTTGTTATTAAGTTTTTCTAATTTGTGAATTGTGATTGGAGAGAATTATCTGATGATCGTCTGTCTCAAACACATCTTACCCATATTTATCATTTTAGAAATTAACATTTATTTATGATATTACTTATGATATTAATTTTACACCTTTTCTTTATAATGTTTATCTATTAAAACTGAATAATCAGCAAGAGTCACCGTAAAGAATATTATAACAAATTATTATGTTATGATGTTTGTAACGATCTATACCGTTAAAATAGATTTTTTGTAAAAGTAAGCTTATATTGTTACAATGTCAATATATAAGTACACAATAAACCATTTACTAATATTTTACAATAAATAAGCACAGGTTAATTCCATGCAGTCTAATTTTATATTCATGTTAGGTCTTAAGTTAATATTTTTTATTTAAAATTTATTGACATAATATCAAATTGTTTTATTCAAAATTTCAAACTTGTATTATTTGGAGAAGTTTGAACAACTCGAGAAATCGTAAATTTTAAATTAATTTTATAAACTTATGATTTTAAAAATTAAATTAGAATTGTTATATTTTATTTCTCACATACATGGCCTGAATATTAAATAGAAAACAATTAGTTACATATATTTTTCTCTAAATTTATGGAAACTATGATAAAATAAGTTAAAATTAATAAGAACTATGATCATTTACGACTTTATTTTAATTTAAACATTTTAGTTTGAGAAATAGTTTTGTTCAGAATAGTCATATAAATTAATGTAATCTTAATGAAATTTGTAACATTAAATAGTGACCATAAAGAAGATAATTTAAACGTATCGAGTACAGTTCCTAAAACTTTTACTTGCGCAAATTTATTAAAAATTGCACATTTACGTATAAAAAAAATCTTTTTTGATTAATCGTTTTAAAACAATTAGCATGTAATCATATTTAACTTGTTACAAATAAATTCGTTTGTGTTAAAGCACATATTAATTTTAGAAAAGTATTAAAATGAATTTTGATAAAATGCTTTAAAAAAACATGTGACTGAATAATAGATACTGAACATTTCTGGTTTCTTTTCTATTACAGGATATATATTAGAAAATGCTTTATTTTAAACTTAAAAAAAATTTATTTTAGAAATCACGAAATTGGGCCTTTTCAAGAACTCGTTTTAAAATTGAATAAATTTATAATATAAATTTAATGATATAAAATTTCAGAAATATACAATTAAAAAGTAAAATAAATGAGAGTTTAATATATTATAGACAATATAATATTACATAATATAGAAATACTTTAGATTAAACTATATGATAAAATAAAAATAAGCCTATATCTTTTTTCAATAATGGGATATAGTTTATATCAGTTAAAAACTTTGATGCATAAGAAAATAAAATAAAATTATTATAAATACTTATAAATATCCTATATAATAAAGAACATAACAAAACAAGTGTTCTTTTCTAAAAGACTTTAATCAGGCATTTAAAAACATTTTAAGTTCCTACCATCAATTAATTTTCTTGTTTCTTACCTCCATTACGTTCTTTCTAAATTTCATGATTTCTTTGATATTGTTACTAAATAAAATATAAAAATACTTACATAAAATTCTTTGTTGTTCTATTTCCTTTTTTTGTTATACTAGGATAAACACCTTCTGTACCATTATGTAAGGCTCTTAAAAGAAATACCACTTACCTTAATAAATTCTATAACACTGTTAATATGTTACTCTCATAGTTTCTATTTCTAGGTATATCACATTGTATATTAAAAATTTTGAATTTATATTCTTATATTGCATTAATATAGTATTTGACAATAATTCATTTTTTATTTACTTAATTGATTACTCTTACTATTTATCCTGAATTATCGATTATAATTTTATTACCTATTATATTTAACTCATAATTGAAAACAAAATTGTAAAATAGTACCAAATAAATGTAAAATACATTGTTATTAATTTACTTACTCTACAACTATTTTTTGACTTAAATATCTTGTTTCATCATATACTTCTTCTACTCTACGCACATAGGCATTTACAGAATTCTGAATAATGAGAGCTGCTTCACCATAATGAATTTTACATGGTTCTGGCAGTAAATTGAAATATTCCTCTAATATCTATAAATAAATATTAATAATAATCATACTTTAAACAAATAATTATTTAATAGATATTAATTTTTACTTATTAATATTTTATTTACTTTGTAAACATTATATTTAACAGAAGTACACTATAAACATTTGAACTATATAAATAAAATTACTAAGTGAATATAGATTTTTTATTTACAAAAGATGAATATTAAATATATAAAGATTTAATAATTGATCAATTTCAAAATAAATATACCTGTGATAAAGGAAAATTCCATGATGCTAATTCTTTTGGTGATTTCATTAACTGAGAACTAACATTTTGTATATTAGTCAACATTTTTTAACTGTTATTCTATTCAAAATAAACATTAATTTTTTTTATACAAAATAATACAAAGGTAATCTGTAACAAGTATTATTAAAATGAAAGTTAAAATTAATTAATATTAACATAAATATTTATACGATTAATTTTTCCTGTGATATAAACTTATCTTTTTTCTAGAAAAAAAAATGTTACCTACATGCATATTAATTTCTAATAGTTACACATTATTAAATAAAACAATTCTAATTAAACTTTCATACATACGTATGTCTTAAACAGAATAATCAAAAAAATACTTTGTAAAATATAAAAATTTTTAGTAATGTTTGAAATTATTAATAAATTAATTCTTGTACAAAAAGGTGTTTATTATTTTATTTAGTGATATAATAAAAAATGATAAATAAATAATAAAAAAGTAATACATTGATATATAGTTTTTACTCCATTTAATGTTAAGCTTCATATAAATCATAAAAATTAAGATGAAAGGTATTTATAAATAAATATTATAATATTATATAATAATACAAATAAAGTTAATTACTTTTACAACAACATTTATATAATACGATATAAACGAACTAACAAAACTGTAAATAGAAAAAATTGGTCCATATTACAATACATTTATTATCATCATACAATATCTACTAGGTTGCACGATACAATTTTACTATTTTATCTGAATTTAAATATAATGCTTAATAAGTAATTACTCATGTTCAGTAGCCTTATGAATTAATTAATATTTAAGTATACTTTTACCTCATAATAATTTTTTTTTATAAAATGTTAAGATTTTTAATTACAATTTTAAATGTTTTTAACTTCTTAAATGGTTAATTTGTATTAAATATCAAAAATGAAATTTGAAATGACTTAATTTGATATATTATAAAATATCACTTGAACAATTTATATTGTTTAAAAAATTCTAACCAAGGAACATGGTAAAATTAAAATGCGCATGCGTAAAATTCAATTCACATAAAAGTGAACTCGATATAAATTCTTTAAATACAAAAATCTAATTATCTTACTCAATCTTACAAGCTTTATAAAATTAAAAAAAAGATGATTTGAACGAAAATATAATTTTATTGACAGTAAAAAATTTAAATTAAATTAATTTTTTAAGTTATTGTGTGCATCAATATAGTGATAACATACGTAAATTTAAAATTATAGTGCTTAACTTGAAAAAATCGCATTTTTTATATAATAAATTTTCATATTTATTATTGATGTAATTTTTCATTTATTTTTTCAAAATTGTTTAATACTATCGTATTAATAGTCGATCGATTATTATATAACATAAATTTATTAGCTCAATAAAGAAATGAATTTTATTATTGTTAAAACTGAAGAAACTTTTACAAGCGACATTTTGAAAATTATATAGTTTTAAAACGTTTACAAAGGAGCAATATAAATAAAATAAATTTAATATTGGAAAATTAATTATTATTAAAAATATGAAATAATAAATAATATACATTATTACAAAAGTATTTTATGTTTAATTTAAATAAAAAAGATTTATTTTATATACCTGTGAATTTAAAGCAAATTATTTGCAAGTTCAATGTAAATAAACTAATTTATTTATTAAAGTTATAATTGATCTCCAACAAGCAAAAGTATATTTACAATGTAATATTAACATTAACATTTCAAAACTTGTTTCAAAATAAAATATATCGTGCATTTTGTTAAGATTTTTATATTATTTAATATATTTATAATTAATAATTTTTCAATTCGGAATAATACAATTGCCGTCAGAAAAATGGCTTACAAGGATAAATTTAATTTGTTTTTAAATAAAAAACAAATTATTTCCTTGCTTCATAGATGAGTCGAATTTGAATTTTACACATTTTTTGTTAATTTTAGAAACTACTATAATAATAACATACAATTTAAAAATAAAAAATATAAATTAAAATATAAAATTTTGGAAATAAAGCCTTTTATTCTAATCAATCAGCTTGGTAATTGTACATGTTGATCGTTTTTTTTTAAATTTATTTTACAATTACTTAGAATATTTAGACATTTATTTTTGTGTGTATTAGTTTATGTTTAAATATTAGTTTTTTTAAAGAGTAGCTTAAAATGTTCTACTTACTGTTTTATTACTCTTTAGTGAAGATATACATGAAATTAGCGAGAAAAAATATATTTGAAGTTTTAGTACATCAAATATGGAATAGACGATCCTAATTGCTTTACATCGTAATTATCGCGGATTTATGTTTTGTTAGTTAATCAAAGTATAAATTATTCATTAGATTTTGTTAAATTAATGATCATTTATAATTATTTAAATTTTAGTATTCGGGATTAGAGCAACTTCGAAGAATTTAAAGATGGGAAAAGTAAAAGCTCTTGGACGCTCGTTTGTAAACATTGATTCTGCGAATTCTTAAAGTGTCTACGTCTTAATTTCAAATATCTTACAATATTTCCGTATAGCAACGTCGATGAAAATCTCGAACCTTCTAAAGCTGTGTCCTCTGTACTTCTCGAATATTCTGGAGCTCAATTTCTGACGTCATCAAGATTTTTGGCCTAGCAACAAGCCCAAGCACTGTTGCCAGCATCGTAAACTGCTAGACGAATATTTAAGAACAGCTCACCAAGCACCGGAGCTCAATGTACTTTTATGGTTTACTCAGTCATCAGTTTTTGCTCACTATAATTTTACCAATCGTTCACTCATCTGTTATTGCTTACAGTATTTCTAAATTAATCGGGTACCAGTTATTACTCACACAGCTACTAAACTCAGCCGCATACCTGGCAATCAGTCTACAATGGACACGCACATAATTCTGCCAGACTCTGCAATAAAAAGCTAGTATAAGTCAATAGTGAAGCCATAATAATTATAATCACTTAAGTGCGTCAAGTTAAGCAGTCATTCAGTACGCAGTGTCGGTAGTTCATAAAGTACCACTATTCAATTATTCGTTCAAGCCACGGTTCGCACGGAGTCTTTGCCAGGAAAGTGGCGCAGTACGTTCTCTCAGTGCAATAATTGTAGAGAACGTTTGTTCACTTCTCCAGTCCGCATAAACAACAATCCGTCAAAGGCAGACTGCCGTTCTACAAATAGTCGACTATCAAACTCATGATATCAAGTCCTTCCGTTCTCGAAGGTATATCATTTATCTTTCTTGCATATAATCATTATATGATTATAATTATTATTAATATAATTATAATTAATATAATATTACATATAATAAATTAGCTCACTAATACTCCCATACTCCTATTTGAGTATGGTCGATTTCCATGATAACTACCACAGAGACATTAATACACACCCCCTTTGGAGTATGGTTAATTCTCGCTGCTAAGCACTGCCAACTATCATTACCATCTTCCCATGCTCCTCTGATGAGCATAGCCGACTGTTTTTGCTGATCCTTATAACGTCAGCATAGAACCTAATAATCAACATCCATTGCTAATCCCTGTAACATCGACATAGCCATCATTACGAAGAAGCAATCTCACCATTGCAATAGAATAATTTCCTCTCCCTCACTAGAAGTAATCATAGAACTGTAATAATATAATTGTTAATAAAACAGAATAAACGATGCCTTCCTTACATCGAAGTTTCACGCTGTACATATATTCAGCCTTTCCACGTGTTTTTCCTTTGCATCGCTACGGCGAGACTAATAAACTAAATTAAAAAAAAATAGAATAATAATAATATTTAATAGACAACTATTAAACATATTGGGATAATGGATTTTAAAAAAGGATTTGATTCTCTTTTATATAACAATAATTAAAGCCTTATTTTTTAATTAATTTTATTATAAAAAATAAATAGAAATTCTAATATATTTGGGATACATATAATAGAAAGATATTTACAGATTGTAGTACGTAATAATGAAAATAAATTCTGATTGGTGTAGTTATGGATATTTGATACGATAATATATTCATATAATATTAGAATTAATTATAAAATGATTTAAAAATTTGGAATATAAAAGTAAATAAAAATTTCATTGTTGAAAAATAGTTTATGAAAAATAAAAAAAAATAAAAACATCAAATTATCGATGAATTATCCATTTAATTTTTATAACAATAATAAAATAAGCATAATCTAGTTAGTTAGAAAATAACTAACCCGAATTAATATTAAAATAAAAATATTAATGATATTGAATAATGGTCTAATTCATGGTTTTAATAATTAATAAACTGTACTATATTAAGAAAAAGCATAGATATCAATACACGATAAAAAAAAATCAGATTTCGTTCAGGAAGTTTTTGTTGGAAGTATCAAATAATTTACAATAGGTGTAATATTAACAAACTATATTTTTTTTATATTTTAATAAATTTGTTGTTAAAAAGAGTGAATTACATTATAGTTACATTAAATTCTACAGCGACTGTTTGTGTTCATTATGCAATAAGAAATATATTATAATTATTAACAAAAAACTAATTAAACAATTACCATAATAAAATTTCTAATCAAATATTTGAATAGAATATATCTATACATAATATTTTTTATTATTTTTAAATTAATAAAAATATATTTCAAGTATATTTTATTATTTAATAAAAGTATAAAAAATTGTGAAAGATTGTTATTCATTACACGATTTATTACGTTAAAATTTTCTAGTAAATATAATCTCTTTTATGAACAATGATTCAGTCGTTTTAGTATAATTATATATTATTAGTACATTATAAATTCTGTGATTAATACATAAAACAAATACATTCTTAGTTGAAATGCTTATTTGTTTTGCGCGCTAGATTATTTTAAACATTACAATTTATTTACTTTATAATATCCATTTAACAAATCGACTAGATACCGTAATTTCGGCTTTATTCATTAAAAACTGACAATCATATGATGAAATTTGTATTACATATGGAATTACTAAGTAATTTTTTTATACATATTTCATTAAGCAAAGTGAATATTATATGCTAAGTTAATGTCAGATATAATATGAAGAGTATCGAATACTTGGCACAGCAATCATAATTAAATAAAAAAAATTTGATTTAAGCTTTATATCGGCCATTAGATCCAATAGCACAACATAAGGTTAGTGAAAATATCAAACCCACAATTTCAAAGACACCAAAGGTAATGATGATTCCAAAGAAGATACAACTTTGTTTCCTTAATTCTTTTAATATAAGATTAGTGCATCCCTGAAAATGATAAAATCTTTTATTAATAAAATAAAAATTATTGTTCACCTAATATTTTTATAATTATATAATTCACATAAAATTCAAATAGCCTAGTATTGAACCAATTAAATTTAAACATAATTGTAGCAATACTTTATGTTTCAAATTTTACCATAAGTAATAAAAACATAATAAAAGCAATTAAAATATTTAAAAAAAATTATTATAAGACGTCAATAACACTATATTAACAGTGTCTAAAAATAGAGTACCGGGCGAGGAGGGCTAAATATCTAGTTAGGTGTGAGCTTATGTTGAGTTAGATGTTGATAGGATTGCAGGCTAGTGGACAAGATAGTACATATATTCAATAAAGAGTAGTTTTGTTATTTAGTATATGTTTTATTGCTAAAATTGCACTAGTTGTATTATAATGAATTTTAATGATGTTTGAGTGCTTGCGTTTCTTGATTTGTATATGTTATTGGCACTGAGCGATCACGTCTGTTGCATGTACAGGAAAAAGTTGACGCCTTGCTGGTCCTCTATATGTAATGCACGTGTTGACGGAATAATACACGTAGAAGAGCGAAGTCGTAAACCCACGCGCATCCTTGTATATCGGCATGCGGCGTTGCTTGAATTGCTTGTATTGTGTTTTGCAGATAACTTTACGTATCTGCAGATTGGAGTGTATGGCTTGTTATAGTTATGTATTAATTAGGAATGGAACTTTACGTCTTAGTTCTGCACGTTGTATTTAGCTGTTTCGTATTGTTTCTTGAATTTGCCTCGAGCGGCTCTTTGAAGTTATGATTGTGTATACTGTGCGAACTGATATTGTTAGTTCTCGTTTTCCTTTTTTACGTTTGATTGTGTATGTTTAATTATCTAGCACTTGTGATGAATAGAATAACCTTTGCGTGATTAGCTTGGATTTTCTGATTGCTTGAATGCGATTACTTGACTTGTTCTTTTTCGATAAGATAAGTGCTTGTGCCTTGCCGGCGTCTTCTTTTTAAAGCCTTCTCTCGGCCATGCGGTAGTCGGTGAGTGTTCCCTTCTTTTTGGCGTCTCCAATCAGTGCTGTCTTGTTGATTATGGCGTCGCCAATGAGATTTTAGTCTTCTTAGCGTGTCCAATCAGAAGTCTTCTTTAGTTTATGGTATTTCTAATCAAGGTACTTCTTGATCATGCTAAATCGGGAAGTGTCTGAAGGTGGGGAACATCTACTATTGGTCGTCTTTCCCTTCTCAGGGATTTACCGATATGAGGGGTCCTCTAAAGGCGAGGTCGATTGGCTAGCGCGATCGACAAGATTCAGCGTAGTTGAGAATGTAAGCATTGTCTTAATATGCCGAATGCGCACGTACGCCGATTGCCTATTGTCGTACGTGCGGGATTTTGGGTTGCACTGAAATTTAGGGAATGTTTCGTACTCGATAGTTTAC